CGTGTGGCCAAAATATTTTGAATGTTTTAGCTGCTATATTGTCAGATATAATAAAATTAGCATGAAACTACATGGAATTGATAAATTAATTAAAGTTTTCAGTTTACTATACGAGGGGTGTTCAATAAGTAATGAGAATGGGATATTTCTAGCCATCACAAAAATCTGAAAAAAAAATGGGCTAGTAGCTTAATTCTTCACTAGAAGCTGTTAGAAAATTCATTTAAGTTCACCATTGCGTTTAATAATTACATTCATCTGAACGCGACCTGAGTCATAAATGTTTATTAATTATCTAAATCTAAATGCATCGCTCTCTTTCACTTTTTAGTCCAGTCAATGAATGCCTTAACGACGGTGTAGAGAGAAATCCATGGAACACAATTTCTGACCTCGGGACTTTATTTAGCCTAGTTAGGTGGTGAACATAGCAAAAGTCCCCGCCCTTAGCCCTTGAGCCGGCGGGGAGAGGGGGGTTTAAAGGTACCACTTTTCGGTTTTTCGCTTAATCCTCGGAAATTATGCGTCCTAGTGACATGACTACTATGAACCAAAAAAAGCTTATTCAATTTGCTACAGGTGAGACAGTCAAGTTTTTCTATATCTTGTATAGTTTTTGCGGCATCTGCTCTAGAAGGTCTGTAAAATTGGAAATTTTATTGTTGTGTTATGTTATGTTCCTTTCAGGAGAAAATCGACTAAATCAACATTGAGCAAACACTATAGACATGCGGGAGCATGTTAAGCCTAGTTCCAGGGAGGGGACTGCACCGTGCGTATATTTAGACGAACCAATTAGAGCCACTTTTGACTCCTCATCATTCAAAAACTACTGTGCATTAACACTTCAAATTTGGCTCATGTATTGAGACTTGCAAGATGTACATCAGCTTCAAATTTCATAAATATACCTCAAACGGTTATTTAGGTATTGACGTTCAAAAATCGATATTTAGAGCACTACTATCTATCTATCACATGTGAAATGTTAAAATTTACTGGTTTTTTATTTGTTCCTTTGTATTTACATAACTACCTTTCTGGATGCCAAATTTGAACCTTCGAGGTCATCTGGAAGTGGTTAGAATTTGGTCTATAGGTCAGACATGTAGATTTTTGGACGTCAATATCTAAAGAACCGTTTGAGGCATATTTATGAAATTTGAAACTGATGTATATCTTGCAAGTCTCAACACATGAGCCAAATTTGAAGTGTTAATGCACAGTAGTTTTTGAGTGATGAGGAGTCAAAAGTGGCTCAAAGTGATTCGTCTAAATATACGCACGGTGTAGTCCCCTCGCTGGAACTAGGCTTAACATGCTCCCGCATGTCTAGAATGATTGCTCAATGTTGATTTAGTCGATTTTCTCCTGATGGGAACATGTAAGACAAAAATAAAATTTCCAATATTACAGACCTTCTAGAGCAGATGCCGCGAAAACTATACAATTTATAGAAAAACTTGTCTATCTCATCTGTAGCAAATTGAATATGCTTTTTTTGGTTCAAAGTAGTCATGTCACTAGGACGCATAGTTTCCGAGGATTAAGCGAAAAACCGAAAAGTGGCACCTTTAAACCCCCCTCTCTCCGCCGGCTCAAGGGCTAAGGGCGGGGACTTTTGCTATGTTCACCTCCTAACTAGTCTAAATAAAGTCCTGAAGTCAGAAATTGTGTTCTACAGTTTTCCATCTATAATGCTTTATTGACTGGACTATGTACCGGATACAATATTTGCCGGAGACGACATACGACGTGAAAGTCATCATGCCCTATCAAACTTGTTCAAACATCGTGTTTTGCTTCTATAGATACAATACATACAGAATGCAGGCGGACAAACTATCACAAAATCCTACTAATATTATAAATGCGAAAGTTTGTATGGATGTCTGGATGTTAACATGTTTGTTACTCTTTCTCGCAAAAACTACTGAACGGATTTTGATGGAACTTTGCAGTATTATAGTTTATAACCCAGAATAACATAAAGGCTATAATTTATGATGATCTGTGACAAACTAAATTTCACACGGGTGAAGCCGCGGGCAAAAGCTAGCTAACATAATCATGATTGTGTTTCTTATTGGAAGCTTCAGCCCACTCAGCTTATTAGAAGCTTCGGGAGTCGCTTTGTTACAGAAAGTAAATTCCCTGATAAAATCATTTTAAATCACAACAAATGGTTTCCATAACGCTAATATTTCCCCATATAAAATTTCATCCCCTTTTAAAACACATGTTACAGAACAATATAATGTGTTCCTCTCCTCTATGTAAGTAATTCATAAAATACTTTCAGCGGTTTAGGCAAGGACAATACGGACATCAGTGCTGTCAAAGTTGATTCCTAAAATTAAGTACTTCTTCTTACATTAAGGTTGTATTTGTTTAAGCTTTAATGCCATTAGTACATAAGGTGAACTTAATGCCATAAAGGCATTCTCTGCCACTTTGCCTTCGTGAGTTTAAAACGTTTTATTCAATTAAACAAGAACATACACCCACTGTACAAAAAAAGCAATGGAAATTAATAAAACAACAGATCCACTCCCAAATTGGACAACTAATGACAAACGGTAATATAGAAAATAGTAAAGGACTAAAGCAAAGCAGAAACAAAAATATAGTAAATAGTAAAAGGAGTAAATCAAAGCAGGCAAACAAAAGTTTATTTGAAGTCGCCGCGGGCGCAGGCTCCGCCTGAGGCCGCTAACGGTCCGCGACAGGTATTTAAACGGTCCAGCTAACTGTACAAGCGGCCAAGGATACGATCACTGGTACCCAGCTCGGAAGAGCGAAAGGAACTTCTTTTACAAATCTTTCGCCAGACATAAAAAGCAAGCATTGTGGTTAGGCAATAGCAGAAAACTAGTTTGAAATTATTATCTACTATAAAATAAATATAAAAAGCACAGCGATAAACCATAAAAAATATGGGACTAAATGGCATACATAACTTTTTATGAGCTTTTACTCAAAACAGTATACAATGGGGTTAGTTAGTAATTCAGCAAAGAATTGAAGATAAACAGTGCAACAAGCTTCAGTTACATGCTTTGGGATCGAATAATTGAATGAAATACGAGTAAGTATTCAGAGATTAAAAAATAAAAGCAAACAAATTGCAATTATTTAGATTACTGTGACTTTATAGAGCTTCGCCTTTCGTTTAAGGACTAAAAACTTCGCTTCGCACATAAAAAAAAAATTAAAAACGCTGAATAGCAAATAATAACAAAAATACGTCCACATAAACATTTAAGTATAATAAAAAAGTGAATTCCGATGCCTCCTGTGAGGATTGAACTCACGACCCCTGGTTTACGAGACCAGTGCTCTACCACTGAGCTAAAGAGGCGATGCCGGCTGTTGCGAAATAGCGAGTCCCCTTCTACGGGATATGACGCGTGATATCGCCGCGGAACTAGTTGGGTGTGGACGCGGCGATTTGATAATAAATTGATAATAAATAAATCATTTATACAATGATATCTGGGATTCCCACAATTTGATTTAATCATCTGCTTTTCATAAAAATAAAGAAATAAAAGGATAATAAAATAACTTACGCATTTAATTATGTGTAAAATTGTATGGATACCTTTTATGTTTACTGTAGACTTTGTGTTAGATAACCTAATAACACTTTAATGTTATTATTCTCTTTAAAATTGAAGTAGGTACATATTCAGTAAAAAGTGTAATTTATTTATTTTATACTCATTATCCCTACTATGAAGAATGAATAATTCAATATGAATACAAAATATATTTCAATATTATACGGTAGTAAAATTCTCAAGCAAAAACGAAAATAAGCCGATATGCGTATCACTTTTATATCAGTGGTGAATGTAAGACAACAAGACAACTGGGAATTACATTATTTTTGCGATAAATAGGCACATTTAAGTGAAAAAGAAAAAATAGAAAAAAATATATTAAAAATTTATTTTAGAAAAATAAATATCTAAAACCATAAAAAGTGAGAATACAGGTAGGTATTTCCTTTGGGATCTTGTTGAGGCGGCAGAAACCAGTCGATAACATTGTCGACAGTCAGTGTTCTAGTCGTTGCGTGTCGTTGCATTCACGTAATTTTGATTCCTAACTGGCAGTAGACATGGTAATATTATTTTAGTCATAGAATTTTCAAGAAAAGGTTTCAAGTTTTTAAGCCACATACCAGCTTATTGGTTCAAAATCAACTTAGGACCAAACGTTACGATAAATCGTCACGCCGAATTAAATCGTAACTGTTAGTTTGCAGTAAATTACTAGAATATTAAACTGATTAAGATGCAAAAATAATCAGTAAAAAGTTAAGGACCTAGGAAGGAACTTCATAATAAAAAGTTACGTGCTTGTTGGACATGCTAGTTTAAATTGTCAATTCCATACTAAATCACTACATAGTATAAAACAAAGTTACTTTTCTGTCTGTGCCATGGTATGAATGAGACAAAGGTTGTTATTAGTCTGTTTTCTTAACGTGAACTACGTGCGTGAGTTTTTATACGATATATGTAGATTAAATGTAAAATACGTCACATCATCTTACTCTACGTGTTAAATGTGCTGACACTGTGAACGTGATCAAGATAATTAAAATATGCAGAGATTAAATAATGTGCATACTGGCACAGTGTCTGTGTGTCCCTACGTATGCTTAAATCTTAAAACTACGCAACGAATTTTGATGCGTTTTTTTTAAAATAGAGTATAATACTTAATATAATACTTAGCACCCGTGCGAAGTCGGGGCGGGTCGCTAGCTTTACAATAAACCAAGCTTAAACGGGCGTAAACTTTAACTATTAAGAGACCTGTGTCCATTTAATCAAGTTTCACAAGAAACGTTAAATCTGAAAAATACTTAAAAACTAAACTTTAAACACCAATAACTTGAAATGTGATTTCAAATCTGAAATATATGATAACGATATGCGTTTTATCACACACATAAGTAATAAATACATATTTATTTTTCAACTAACCTTATTTTGTGATCATCTCCTTTAGTCTTGGGCTTGTCATCTGCAAAAAGAATACATTATAAGATCAAGAAAAATACTAACAAAAGAATTGCCGAAACCCGGGATCGAACCAGGGACCTTTAGATCTTCAGTCTAACGCTCTCCCAACTGAGCTATTTCGGCCAGTTGATGGAACTACGAAAATTACACACAGTATCTTTTTACGTGTTCAAATGTGTACTATTTCATAAATATAATGATTAATAATATATAGAAAAGTTCTATTAAAATCAGTAATTTCACTTTGAACTGTTAAATCAAATTGTATTATTACAATAACCTCTGTATTAATCTTTTGCCTTGCAGAAAAGACTAGGATCGCCATCTATGTGTTGTAAGAGGAAATAAACATCAACCACTAGATGGCGTTGTAGTCTTGGTTTCTTGCAAACCCTCTAATCTGTTGCAGTTGGGTGAAACTTTTGCAGACAATGATCTTCCTTTGCACTTGAAAAAGGGCAAACCCTAATGAAATGCAAGCAATTAGACTTTTGTGTCAATAGGACTGACAAATGATAACTTGAAGTAATAAAATACACCAAGTGGAACAGTAATAAAAACGACACCCATGTTTATTACAGTTGGTATTCTACGTTAACTTACATATTATTTAATTAGATAGATAGGGCACCCAATAACATTAATGTCTTACCTCCCTCCTGCACTTGGACAGCCTTGTCGGAGGCCACCCGCCCGAAGTCGTCCAGCACCACACCGCAGCTCTGGTACAGCCGACTACGCAGCCTCATATGCTTATCCGTCTCATGATATGCCTTGATTTCATCCTGTATGATGAGAACAACTTATTATTATTATTTGTTATACAGTTACATACATGTAGGGTTGTTGAAAACCACTTCCCGAAACAATTTACTTTAAGTGAATTAGAAGTTCTGTAACAAGTACTCACCTTGAGATCCTTAAGTCTGGTGTGAGATCTGCTTGAATAGCATTCCCTAAGTGTATCAGACAAAGCAATTCTACGATTCAAAAGCGGCGTAGAACCACTCGCTCTTATGTTACAATCTTTTTGCCTCACTGGCGTCTCTGACGCCTTCACTTTGGGCACCGTTCGATGGGGAGACCGAGCAGGATCAAGGGATTTCAAAGTCTTTCGAGGCTTAACTACAAAAGTCCTCCTCACCGGAGCCTCAGGAGATGGGGAATAATCGTTCAAAACCACTGGAAGTTCACTAAAAACACTTGAGCTAACGTTCGAAACAGATGGTTTCGCGCCAAGGGAAACAGATGACGGTATTTCGTGGCGCGTTACATAGGATTTCGGCTTAGGAGTGTTACGCGGCTTGTAGTTAATACGCGACATAACTCTATCGTATTTAATATTACGCTTTTTGTTATTATGATCCATTAATATTTCAATTTAATTCACGAAAGAAAGGATTGTTTTGCTTTTCACAACCAACACAACAACACTGTGTTCCACTTCAATAACTTTTATATGTCATCGACAGTTGCAATTCTTGCAATTACTTAAAAATAATTTACACAAATGTATTACATACTTTAATGTTTATCGTAGCGCTTGTTTAATAATTTTCGGTAGATGGAACACGTCAGATGTCACTCAATCTTTTTTTAAAATTTTATTTAGGCTTCTGACCAATGCTATTTTATCCACGATTAATAAAATCTTTTCTGGGATTCTGCAGTGGTGTGCAACTGTGCAGTGCTGCTGTATGGCTTAGCTTAGTTTAGTAGTGCCAGTAAGTAGTAAGTAGATAATCATCATGATTGTATTAATGATGTACGAATCATGGACCTAACAGGTCCATGGAACAAATAGAATGACCAATCTGAAGAAATTAGTAGTAGGTAAAAACACAGAGCATGGGTAAAAAGTAGGCTTGTTTCAGGCAGGAATTAAAAGCAAACAATTTATTGTCTGAAACAATTCTTTTATTTTCAAAAATTCTTGTGCTTAGCACTTTATCTACATTTCTAATCTACCTACATTAACAAATGCAACAATTTCAGCAAATTTCATTTGCCTACAAGTTCATTGTGTTTGGTTTCATAAATATTCTTGGCCTGATTATGAAACTCTTCACACATGGCAGTAATTTGTTTAGTAACACTGAACACTAGATCTTCAGAAACTCCAGTTTGCTTTTTGGCTTTTTTAATGAAATCATTTTGTACATCTTTGAGAGCATCCCTGCACTTTATATACAAAGCTTTAGCGTTTTTTGCTAAAGCTTCTCTATGCTCTTTTGTCACTTTGGGGACAGGAACATAAAGTGTGGTACCATCCTGTTGGGGATTCAAGTTTAATCCAGAAGTAGAAATGGCTTTTAGAGCATCAGGAATAGCTTGAGGAAATGAAGCAAAGTTTATCACTATAGTTTTGGGGTTTTTGCGGACTATCTGAGCCAATTCTTGTAATTCGTAATCTTTGCCTTGAAATTTCACTGGCAATGAGTCGATAGAGCCGGTCGTAGAGCGTAGGGATAGATTTTTTGCGAAATCCTCCTTCATTTTATCAATAACTGCATTACATCTTTCTTTGATTTTATCCACGGCCACAAGCTCCGACATTTGAGCAGGATCTACTTGTATTTTGGCACCTTTTCCTTTCTTATCTTTTCCTTTGTCTTTACCTTTAGCATAGTTTCTAATTATAGTAAAATTTGTAGAATTGCTGCAGACTAAAGTTTCAATTTTTATGGCACTACCGTAGTGAACTGGTTTCAAAGAATTTCTTGCCACCTGCACTACGAGTCGTTGTAGGAGTCGTGTCCCCATCATTATTAACTCAAGATTTCATTCAAAAAGTAAGATATTTTCCATTAATGAGAAAAAATTATGAACAGACTGCAAAAGTAAAAGTAACCTCTAGCCAAATTTTTGACATTTTTGATTTTTTTTTGTGACTGACAGAAGTGACAGATTGGTCGGTTTTACACATGAAGCTACAGATAAAAATGGAGGCTACACTCTGAATACCTACTTGAAGCACAAACTAAGTATCACTATCTCGCTCTCTGTGGGCAGACTCGCTCTTTCTAAATAAACAAAAAATATAAAATTGCTCAAATTCAATGAAACCAATGTAAAACCTTTATTTCTTGACATAGGTATCATTAAAAATGATAAGTGTAATTACTGGTAAAACGTTTTAGGAAGAAATTACTGTAAAAAATGTGAAAAATGTTTACAATGATCCAATGTCGGAAATCACGAAATAAACACTTACGCGTGGAATCTTATGTCACTTCCAGGACACCACGTACTACCGCAACCACGCACTACAAAATTTTGCACCAATTCTTGTGATAAAACAATGATTATTTCCTGTAAACAATCTCAAACGAAATTAACTGCTTAATAAACAAAATAGTAAACAACCGCCATGATGGGCCGGATGGGCCGCTGTTGCCACATGGTACCGATTACCCAGGAATTGGGATTGTAATTCCTTGATTCGCCAACACATTAAGCCTAAATGGCCGACAATTTTGTGATTTTTTATTTAATTAGGTAATCTTAGTTTCAAATATTAATTATTTATTTGTTTAACTTTTGATTTGGTTAGTGAATTGGCTATTTCGAAGAATTTACAAGGAGATTTAAATCAGAAGATAGCAATACTACAGTTCACACTAAAAAGAGAGGTAGGGCCGCAGAGAGCGAGATAGATATAAGTAGGTATTTGACTCAAGTTTTTGTTCCAACTCTGCCCTCCATTTTTATCTTTAGCTTCATGGTTTTACACACAGATATGGATTGGTTTTATAGCCTGACCAGGAACATAAAAACCCTGGCATAGAGGGGTATTTCGCCAAAAATGGTCAATTTTGCCTAATTTCCTTGGCACGAATTTTATTTTTGTTTTTAACTATTTTTAGTTTCCCATTGCAATAAGTAGTAAAAACTAAGCTAATATATCTAGAAGGGGTGTCATAATTCGTTTTAGAAACAAAGTTATGAGGTCATAAATTTTTGGTAGCCAAGGAAATTATTATAAATATTTTTTTCTCTAAGTTTTCTTCTGTGGTTTGCTTTTTTTTTGTTCGACCCATTTTTGTGTACTTTCGCAAGCAAACATGCCAATGAATATTATATCANTCGTACAACATTCAATCAACATACATCAAAATCTTGGAATGCGTTCGTCAGAATCACCTCGAAACCTTTTTTAAATTTTTGCCGAATGCTCAGCTGCTGCACGGTTGTTGGATTATAAAAGTATACTCTATTCTTAATGTAACACCACAAAAAATAATTTTCTGGAGTGAGATCATGTCTCTTACCATCTAAATGCTCTCAGTTGAAGTGTGACACGCAGCCCCATCTTTGAAATGAAAAAGCTTTTCAGCCTACCAGTATAGCGCTCTCAAAAATTAATCATCCTTTCAATGCAACAAACCAATTAAGCAGGGGTGAAATCTCACTGCCTCTAAGAAACGCTAATCTCATTCCAGCAGACTTCTTTTTGTGGGGTTACCTTATGAGCAGAGTATACTCTAATAATCCAAAAACTCTGCAGCATTCATCCATCCTGAATTCATTTTGAGGTAACTCTAAGGGCTCCTGCACACGACGCCGCCACCGCGCCGCCGCCGCGCCGTGCCGCGCCGCTACACTGTTCATACTCAGCGAGTAAAACCACCGTGGCGCTGCTACCGCGCCGTCAAAGCATAATTTCGCGCAAAGGCGCGGCGACGGCGCGGCGGCAGCGCGGTAGCGGCGTCGTGTGTAGGAGCGTTTTCAAAATTTTCCAGCAAAGTTTTCCAAAATTTTGATGTATGTTGACCGAATGTTGTAAACGTCAAGGGAATCACATGTACGATAAAATTTATAAAAGATAGTAAATTTTAAAATAAATTGCACTAAATTTCCTTTAAATTGCAATAGCTAAAGTTCTACAAAAATGTACGTACAGTTTTCGTTTCCTTGAATTTTCAAAATTGAATTTTCTTCTGGGCCACCCTGTAAAACAAATACACGAAGTTGTGGAGAGAATATGCGGTGCTCGTGCTAGGCTTCGAAGATCCTGTGTTACGAGTTTTTTATTTTATTTTTATTGAAACGCTATTGGAATATTTTAAAATTCATGATCACATAAGTACCTAAGTATATGTATATTACAGTGCGTTAATTAATCTTTTATTTATATATGGATTGCGTATACGTATAATTATATTTTTTTTTCCTGTAAAAAAAAATTTGCCGCCCCTCTAAATCTGCCGCCCTAGGCACTGGCCTACTTGGCCTATTGGTAAATCCGCCACTGGATAACTCCGCCAATTATGAACCGATTTGAACAAATCTTTTTATAGGTAATACCTCAAGGGTGGTCCCATTTAAATTTAATAATAGAAAAAACAACCCCCAAAGGTGGAAAATTGGGGATGAACTTTTTTATACGCAATATCTCCGCCGATTATAAATAAATTTGAACGATTATTTTTTTGTTGAATAGGTATTATCAATAGGGTGGTTTCATGCGAATTTGAAGAAAATATTTCACCCCCAAGGGTAGAAAATTGGGGATGAACTTTTTTATACGCAATATATTTAATTTTTAGTTTTTTTTGTGTTCACGCATTTGAAGTCATTTTTATTTTTTTTTAAGTTATTTCAAGTGCCTGCCTGTTTTGCCTTATTTTTATTTCAAAACCCGCAGCTCTTCTTAGGCTGGATTGCACCATCTTACTTTAACTTTGACAAACGTCAAAAATCTGTCAAACTCCATACAAAAAGCACCGGTTATCGTTATAGTTACGGTCAAAGTTAGATGGTGCAACTCAGCCTAACATTAGAAGAAAACCAAATTACAGATATCAAAACCCACTGTTATAATAATCATAATGAATGAAGCAGCATGGGGCGAAGGTCGTAATCATACTATTAATAGGAACGTATTATTATTTAATACAAAAACAGATGTGTATTTTGTACCGTATAGATTATATGGGTTACGTTTGTTACAGTGAGTGACACAGTTGTCTGTTTTTTGTCGGTTTATTCACAGATGTGGGTGATTATGTTCAAAGAACGTTTCTTTCTCACTGAGTGAATTACAGTGTGAACTCTATTTAACGACAAACTCCTTAACTTCGAAGCTTCTTGACTGTTTTGGGCTACCTTGTTTTCTATCCGCTCTACCGTGTCACTCCATTTAACGACTACTTAATTAATACTCTCTATAACGCGCACTCTAAGATGCTCAGTCCCATAAGTGTCGTTATGTAGGTACTTTGTCACTGTATTTTCTGTCTTCTTTTATTAAAACAATGCCGTACAGAAGCTGAGAACTCTACAATCCTACGTTTTTCTCTGGGTCTCAAACTATCTCCTTTAATAGGTCAATTTTCATCGAAGTCTGTTCCGTAGGCATAGGATACGCGTCTCGACACTATTTTATTTATGATATTTATCGATTTTACACGATAAGTTGATAATTTTGTCGTCTAAAATTGACCATAAGATTCTATCATGGCTCATATCCTAGTCCGGTAGTGGTTTACCTCAGG